CGTAACAAAAATGCAACCAAACAAACCAGGCTGTCAAACAAACGAACACAAGAAACTTAAGTGGGTTTCATTAAAATTTCATTAAAGTGGTGATGCTTTCCCTTTATTTAGTCTGTCAAGTTCAAGTTTATTGTCATTATACACATATACAGGTTTATGGTATAACGAAATGCTATTTAACTAGCTCTCAGATGATAAGTAGTACAAAAAAACAACAATACAATTATATAGTTAAAGAAAGACAGAGACAACAGGCAGTGTGCAAAAACAACAACAGGCAGTGTGCAAAAACAACAACAGGCAGTGTGCAAAAACAACAGGCAGTGTGCAAAACAACAACAAGCAATGTGCAAAACAACATCAGTTGTGCAAAACATGCATCAACAGAATTAAATAAAAGGATAGAAATTATGGGTAGTGAGCTTTTTGACATGTGAGGTAGAGGTAGATTTCAATGTGTGTTTGAGTTTTTGGTAAGAAAGAAGGCAGTGTGAGGTTCAGATCATAGGTGAGAGAGGCTGGGAGTTTAATAGTTTGATAGTGCGGGGGTAAAAACTGTCTCTGACTCTGGTAGTCCGGGCCCGAATGCTCTGGTACCTTTTTCCAGATGTTAGAGGGTCATACAGTCTGTAGCTTTATATGCCTAATACCTCAGAGGCTTCAGTTGAACAAGAATAAATCCACTGGTTTAGGTAGATTGTCCTCTTGATGGTAGTAGTGGGGAGCTGTGTCAGCATCTGTAGGCTGCAAAGGAACAAGTAAAGATTTATTCCATGCTGAAAAGGGAAGAAAGGAAACACGTTTTGGGCCTTCTTCAGGTATGAGACAGGGAAGTCAGCAGCTGATATATAGCATGGGTGAACAGAAGCCGGGAGTGTTGCTATCTACATTGGGGAAGCAGGAAGGAGACTTGGAGACTGATTCAGAGAACCCGCTAGGGCTGTTAGGATAAAAGATTTCTCCATTTCACCTCTAACAGCCATATTCACACCGATCTATCCTATGTCTGCGTTCTCAAAGAAGGGTCTCTTAACTCCTATTGCAGAAAGACACCCAAAACCAAAAGTATCCTGAAACTAGATTCACACCGCCCCCCTCCTCTCAACGACAGACTCCTTTCCTTCAAATCTTCTCTATTCATTTGCAGGTTTCGACTTCACACCTCTCTTCACCTCTCTCGACTTCACACCACCTGAGTGTCCACTCTGCCTTTCCCCCTGCTCCCGCCTCCTCTTCACTCCCAGCTTCTGTTCTCCTATGTTATATCATCTCTGCTGACTCCCCTGTCTTTCTCACACCCGAAGAAGACTCCACAGACGAGACGTTGTTTCCTTTCTTCTCTTTTCAGCACGGAGTAAACCTTTACTCGTTCCTTTGTCCTCTTGATTTTTTTTTCTCTTCTCAAATTATTTCGCTTTTAAATGCAGATGACGTCTGGTCGTCTTTGGAAATTCCCCGCTTGAGCAGTCGTCCAGCCTTCTGATCTCAAGTGGGTTCAATTTAAATGGAAGCTGTTCTCGAGCTGAGTATCCCTGCAGCTATGCGGATACCTCAGTCCATCCTGCAGCTGTTTACAGCCATGGAGATGCCCCATTACCAAGATAAAGGGCTTCAGTTTACATGGCCTTTTTTTCAAAACTTGTAGCACACAGATTGGGGAGGTGTGACATTTGGCACCTTCATAGGATCTCTGAAATGCCTTTTACATTTCTGCTTTGGGCGGTTGGGAGAACAGGAATAAGAGAGGGAAAGAGGGGAAAATTAAAAATGTAACGTAAGTAACAGCAAAAACAAACAGACCCTCACGAAGTACAGGCTCAGTGACCGCAGCCTGACCATAGAAACGGGGCGACAAAGGCAGACCAGGCTGTCCAGAGAGGACAGGCTGAGCTCCCACTGCCAGCGGAGAGAAATGGAGACAGAGGTGCACTTCCTCCTGCACTGTGACAGATATTCTGAGATTATACAAACATTCATCCCTAAATTTTCAAATCTAATCCCGGAATTCCCACACCAGCCAGAATCATAACAAGTCCCAATCCTACTGGGAGAGAACTCAGTTGAACTGGCAGCCCAGTATGTGACCTCCTGTCACAGCCTGAGGAACAGTGAGCCTGTCTCCCAGTAATGCTCCATATGTTAATATTTTACGATTGTGTCTTTATTGTAAATGTCTGTAGATTTTTGTTGTATGTTAATTGTATTTGTTTTGGTTTGGCAACACTGGTCACGCC